GTGTTTGCAAAATCTGATTTGGCACTGTGGTAAGAGCTGTAACGCTAACTCTGATTTAAAAAAATTAAAAATGGAAGCACTTGTGAGGGATGAGGAAGGTGGACACACCCACAAAACAGCACTTCTGTTTAACAATGTGCTAGAAGCTTGGCCCACATTAAATTCCACTAGGCTTTGGTGGTTTGTCAATGGTGTACATTGTATTTTAGGGAAGCAGTGTTGTTGTGGAACCTTTGATATCTTGGAACATATTCCAGACATATTCCAGTCTTGGAATGTGTGCAAACTGGAAGGGAAATTGCCTGTTTTCACTTGTAAGTAATACTTCCAGCACAAACGTGTTACCAACAACACCCATAACTATGTAGTGCTTGTTTTTATTTTCTAGGCAGTGGAAGTGAAATCCAGTTTCTGTCTGAAGCTCAAGATGACCCTCAGAAAAGGAAGCCAGACATCAAGAAAGCCAAGTTACTCCTTGGTTGGGAACCTGTGGTAGGTACCCCAGAATAACTATTCTGCAATTTGAATATTTGCAAAATGCAACCATTGTTATGTTCCATCTAGTCATCTCTGATTTGCTAGGAATGAAACCCCTCCAGAAAGGCCCATCCTTGACAGCCCTGCCAAGTTCTTGTAAACTTGAGGCTTTGGATTCTTTTATTAGAATAAATCCATCTCATAGTTGGTCTTCCTCCATTTCTCTTTGGAACGTTCACTAGCTTTTTCTCGGTATTACTTGCTATGCAAGCAAATCTAATGACGTTTCTCCTGTGTTATACTTATTTCCTTTTGGGGTATTGGGGAAAGTTACTTTAAAAAGTCAATAAGGCTGCTAATGGAAAATGAGCACAATATTTATATTTGCTTTTATAGGAGAAGCAAGACTAGTTAAATGCCATACAAGTCAGCAAAGCTTCCTAAGAGCCAAGTCATTTAACAAAGGCTCTTAAGGGGATCGTGCACAACTATTTTACATGAGGAACAACTCCACTCCTACTAAAACATGCTTATTATGGATCAGTATGTCACAGAACATCAGACTAATGGTTGTTTCTTCCTTTTGGAAGGAATTGAAAGGCCTGGCCTTGAGACCTTAGTGACTGTTTCCAAGCAGTAGCACTACTCTTTGAAAAACAAAAAAGAATGCCTCAAGTTGCCGCAAGCAGATCTGAAATCATCCCTGTGTCAGTCTCACCTGTCCATAGAAGCGAGTGTAGCTTCTGCACTTTGGTTGGATGGACATAAATGTTTAATAGGAATGAGGTGTGCGACTAATACTCAGGCCAGATATTTACTTTCATAAATGTCTTTCATGGCTTTAATCTAACCGTGCAGTCCTAAGTCCCACTGAATTAAATGGAGCTCAGGCACAGGTGTGTAAGGACTTGTCATTTGGCTAAATTTATTGTTCCATGCAGACTTTTTCCTAGGCAGTCAGAGTTTCCTTTCCCTCCATTGCCCTGATGGCCATGAATACCTCCAGATATACTTTGGAGAGGCACAGAAACCTCAGGTGCAGATTTGAAGAAGGGAAAATTTGATCTGCCAGGTCTGCTGGCAGAAGGGCCTTCCTAGATGGAACCCATTGATGTAAGTCCAGCATAAACACACATCAACTGTTCTTTCCACAAAGGAGTGAGCAGTGTGTACAAATATGTGTCTCTTTTTCCCTGTGAGTTTGTATAATCTTGTGCATGTGCAAGAAATTTTGTATTCTACTTTAGATATTATCAGTTGCGTGTGGCAGTGAAATTAATGGTATGTCTATGCATGTCACTTGGAAGTAATTCCCACTGAGTTCTGTACTCCGCTTGTGCATATATGATTTTCATGTAAGGGATTGAGCTGATTTCACTGACTTGTGTATAGATCCCAAATTTTGTATATAAGAGTTGGAAGGTCCTGGAGCAAACAGAAGAAAGTTACTTGGAAAGGATAAGCAATTCCCCCCATCCTCGTTCCACTAAGTAGATTAGTGTGTTTGGAAGCCCCTTCGGTGGGGTGTGGGGCTCATTCTTCTTGGTCCATGTGCCTTATGACATAGGAGACAGGAATGAACCAGAAGTAAAGAGGAAGGTTGTAGTGCAGGCTGGGAGTGATAGAGAGACCTGGAAAGGTGGAGACAGTCGCATTCTCAAAGGTCACTAGGCATGTTATGCCACCTGAATCTTTTCCAGGCCCTTCAGAAAGAAATTTGGGATAACAGGTTAGCTTTAAAAATTCCTGTAAAGCTGCTGGAGGCAGCTGCCGGGCTCTGGCAACAGCATGCAAGGAAGACTGCAACCTGACAACTTCACAGCATCCTCCTGCAACACTCACTGCACTAGCATGGATTGGTGCCTCTTCAGAACGGGCTGCAGTAAAATGTATTAGAAACCGCAAACTAGAGTGTTGCATTTATAAGACGAACCCCCACCCATCCCCACCCTTTCGGCCAGTAAGAGAGGATGAGGAAAAACGTGTGATTACAGAGATATTGTTCAGTTTTCCTTTGCAGCGCTGTTTTAGATGGTGCAAAGGAAACATTGCACTAGGAGGGGAGAGTCAGGATTCTCCCTGTTCAAATCTTTTGCTGCGAATGTGGAAGAGGAAGAACAAGATGTAACTTCTTTTGTGTAAAGATTATGACAGTGGTGAAGAGCTGGACCACCAGAGGTCCAGGAAAGCAATGAGCAGGTTCATTTGCAGTATTGTTTCTCGTTGGAAACAGGTCCCACTGGAAGAAGGCTTAAATAAAGCAATTCATTACTTTCGGAAAGAACTGGAGTATCAAGCAAACAATCAATATATTCCCAAACCAAAACCTGCCAGGATAAAAAAAGGAAGAACCAGACATAACTAAAAACTCTACTGGACAGGAAATAAAATTCATTGCATTGCATTTGAGAAGATGTTAATTTGTCTTTTTGAAAAAGACTTCAGAAACAGGTATCATGAAGAAAAAAAACTGGAATTTCACCCTGAAGCTTGCTTTAAAGAAGTGGATGTGCCTAAATAAGAAAACTGCAATCTTTGCCTTGCACTTTTTAAATCTGTCTTTTTATGTAAAATAGAAGCATCCTTTTTTTAGTATCTTCAAGTTTTATATCTTGCTGTGAGATCATTTTGTTGTGACTGTCCTTGACAGTTTTATTTACTGGTTTCTTTGTGAAGCTGCAGATAAGATGGGGAAATGCCAATTTATTTATAAAGTGGGTACTTTAAATAAGAGATACTATGCATAAAGAAAAAAGTTAGCAGTATTGTCATGTGACAAACACTGGCATTTAGTATTATAGGAGTATACAAATTCTGTATGAGAGCTTTATGTATTCTTTTTTAATCAGTTTTTTCAAAAGTTTAGTTCTAGTTGCACACTTGAATTTGAAACTATTTTCACTGACTATCATGGATAAATGCTATTTTAAATCACTACTGTGTTGTGCATACTCTGGGGCAGAAGTTAATGTATTATTGGTTACCAGTGGCTGAATATGCTATTTTAATAAAATATTGAAACTTTCAGTAAGTAAAAATTCCATAGTGATTTGTTTGTGCTCTCGTGCATATTGATTCATCTTGGGATTCTTTCTTTTTGAGCAACTGATTCTTTCAAACAGTAAATTTTTAAAAAGAGTACTTCTCACTGAATATAATAGAGTAAAAGATATTCCCATGGACCTAAATCTCATAGAACTGTTAAACAATGACCTATCCCTTATCTTGTTGTTAATTGTAACCAACACGTATGAAACTGTATTGCTTTTTTCCAGCAAATTCTCCTCTAAGTTTCCATATAGCCTGAAGTACTTTATCCTGCTTAATTTTGGAAGCTATGTAGGATCAGGCCTGGTTAGAATCTGGATGGGTGACCTGAGTGTTTGGCACTATGATTATTGTTGTAAACCGCCCAGAGAGCTTTGGCTAAGAGCAGTATAGAAATATAATAATAATAAATAATAATAATAACAATCTTGATTGATCTAATTTAATTACACAAGTGCAACACCGCTATAAAACTCTTCTATATAAAATAATGGAAATGGTTTTGGACCTTACTAAGCAACCGGAACTCTTTTAGCCTTTAATATGAAATACATTTGCTCAGATGAAATTATTGTAGTCACGGAGCTGCTTGTCCAGCTTTGGGCTTCTTGCCTGTCCTGATGCAGAACTAAAGTAGCAGGGGATTTATGCTCACAACTACCATAAACATGAAACACGGCAAAACTGTGGCATCTCTGGAGGTAGTTTTCCATGCCGAGAGAACGGATTTATAGAGCCTGTCCTTGCAGCACTGTTTCTGCAACAGGAGGAGAATGGCAGTTGCCACTGGAATGCTCAGGAACAACAAACTGCCTGGTTGAAGGACTGTGCTTGAAGGCCGTCTGCACTGGAACCATGTTTTGCTGGTGGCCTTGTCCCCTCTCCTGATAAAGGGGAATGATGCAGTGGGGGACTAATGCTATACGCTCGCAAAGTCTCTGCAGTTAATGAGCCACTGACCTGGCTTGCACGTAATGCAACCCCATGGTTTGTTACCCTGTTTAGAGTCTAGCAGGCAATCAAACAAGCTAGTTTGTTTTTGCAGTCCTGAGGATGTCTGTTTGTTCCTTCACCCAGCCCCTCCCTATATCCGAAATGTCTTTGCAATACTGTATGACAACAGGTACCTTTTTAAGGAATGGTAATATAGTAATAGTAATATAGTAATGACGCATTGCTCTTTCTTGCTGTCTTTATAGCCTGGTGGCATGATCATTGTTCTGGGGTCTAGCAAACCATGGTTTAAAAAAAAACCCAGAGTTTACAGCCCGACATCATATCACAGGTTCTCCTTCTAGATTGTTTGTGGTTTGGGTTAGGATTGTTTTGTTAGTTTGGGGTTTTTTGGTATGTAGAAGACTTTAGTAGAAAACTTATTTCATACAGGAATGTCTGCTGTAACCAATACGAAGGCTCGAGTTAGTCTTCCATGAGGTAATAGTTTTGAATTATTTTTTCCACTACTTTGATGAAAATGTTTATCAAGAAGCTTTAATTCTAACACTTATACACTGTGTGCTACTGAGTGGCTATAAAAACATTTTTAACAACCATTTCCTTATTTTTTTAACAAACTAGTTAAAACTGAAAAGAATATAGGTATATTAGGGGTTATCAATCTACCTGCTGCTACTAGACAGGACAAAAGCTTAATAATCATCATAGTTGACGCTCGCTCCGTGCCTGAAGGTGTGAGGATTCCTTGGCCCAATGGGTGCATCTTCATCATAATGGTGATGGTAATACCCACCATAATATTCATGGCCACTACGGCCTAGATTTGACCAATAGGAGACATCATCTTCAAATTTCTGCATATAGGGAAAAAAAGAAGTGGCAGACATGAGCTGAAAGCGACATCCTTTCCATGACAACAGCTGTAAGAACAATAACATTTATCCTTGGAGCCTTTTTTCCCCCTTTCCATGTATATTGTTCACTAATTCATGTTTTTCTTCAGCCAAAGGGCTGACTTCAATGGACAGTAAGCATCATGTATCTCATCTATACTGTGTTCAGGTGGGGATATATAATCTAATCCCTGTGAAAGCCAATGGTGTCGGGTAGAGCAACCTGACCAGAAAACTTGTGAAGACTTAAGCTACTAAATCGCCTCTACCTTCCACCGGACCCTGGCCAGCAGTTGTATCATTATCCATAGGAGACCAAGGCAGGGGATGGCAGTGGGACTCAGGAAAGTCCAGGTGAGATGGTGGTTATCATTATTGGCCCTGGCACTGCAACATGGAAGACAATGCAAATCCCCCACATTAAATTTCCCAAGTATACTCATCGTGGCTCGAGCTACGCCTTAATTTAGTCCAGCCATGACAGTGGTCCAACCTCCAGTAGAAGAGGAATGTGAGGAGAAATCATGCTTATCTACACAACTCTTTTATGTATAACACAGGATATTGGTCTTCTAGTTACTTGACAGGAGACAGCCAATTAGAACTTAAAGATTTTTTAAAGCCCCTACAATAGCTTATTGCCATTTGTTTGAAAATACAGCCCATGGCCTATCAGGCAGTGCCCACTGTGAAGACACATCTGCACACAGACATTCCACATGGCTATGGAATGCACATTTTGCACTTGTGCAATATTCATGTTAAAGAAGAATTTTCTGGTTTTCATCACTTTGTGCTGAATGGATATTTGAACATTCCTATACATAAAAAGCAAGGAGGCTTTGTTTCAACAAGTTACTCAGCTCCGTTTCAACTTGGAGGAAAAGGATGGAGGAAAAGAAGTTGCGGAACTTTGCTTCATATCATACCTTGGACTTTGTAGCTTTATAAAATTCAGACTTCATTTCCAGTTCTGACAAACCTTCTGTGTGTTTTCTCCATACTTATTTGTATGTACTTTCTAGGTAAAGGAATCTGATTGCACTACTTCGTTTCTTCCATGGGGCTTTTTCACTTTACAAAAGTTCAATCTCACTGCATTCTACTGTCAGGAAAGCATGCACAATATTCCCTTGAAGTTTGCTTAGTGCTTTTGTAAATTTTAACTGATTAGAATTTTAATAAGTTTTATTATTTATGACATATTCTTCAGTGGTTTTCTTGGGTTTTCTTCTGTAACCTACCTAATTTTATGTATACTTTTAATGTATGGTTTTATATGTGAGACTGAAGTTAAGTGTAAATTATCACTTAATTTTTGTGAGATTTCTGATCTAGCTGGCCTTGTGACCAAATCATGTAACAGCCATGGGATGTTACTCAGTTGGCATGTCTAAATGATCCAATCTCTGCTTGATAAGTGATATGCAAACACCCCATGTAGCTGCATGGAACTGCTTCATTTCTCCCTTTTGTGTGAGTAGGGAAACCAAACCAGGTTGCAGCTGTTAACTGCAGCTTCCTGTTATATTCAAAGCAGGAAACTATAATGGCTTAATCCTGGCTTGTTTTAAAGTCATTGCGGTAATTTCTCAGTTTGGTCCCAAGATGAAATTGCACCTAATGTCTATATAATGGCCACGTTGCTTCTGCAAAGGGAGACTGAGAGATGAAATGCCCATGTGGTAAAAAAGGGAGTTGTCTCTCACTTCCTACTGCCTGTACATGAAATAGTTAAATTGTTGCTTTTCTTAAGAAAATTGCTAACTAGATGGCTAGTCTAAATCTAAGATTTCATTTATATCTGGATATCTCTCTCTCTCCCCTAGATATATTCCAAGAAAGTTGCTTTCTCTCTTTGAAATGTCTTGACCAGATGCCATTTAGTGTCTTTTGTTCAAAACTAGGTATTTTATAATTAAAATTCATGGTCAGTAGGAACCTGGCAACTCAAACTCCAGGTTGCTGGTCTTTTAATGTACTTCCTGTACATATTAAACTCACACAATTCATATCTGTCTTCAACCCATTTGAGCTAGTGTGGCTTGTTCTGTTTACTGAGTCCAATTTATAATAATGTTTCATGCCTCATTATACTCATTTTTAATTTTCATGTTCTGCCAGTTTAGCCTTGAACTTTCTATAGAACTGACCTTAAATGCCACTTGTTATGTTCTCATTCAATTATCCTTGCAATGCTTTGCTGAGTCTAAGTATCTTCTGAAATCTATTGTCACTCTGCTTATGTTCATAGAAACCATGTGTACCCTGAACAAAAGGAGGGGTTTGCACATAATAGATTGAAAGTGGCTTAATGCCATGACTTCTCCCACAATTGGAATTCGAATTCTAAAGGAGGAATTGACCAGAGCTGTCATCATATCCAAGGTTTCTTTTTGGAGCCATAACTATAACATGGTGCCATTGAACTGCTTACAATAAGATATCATGGCATGTATGACATGGCTGCAAGGTACCTTTGTTAGCACAGATCCCTCTATGCCTCTAAAAATTGTAAAGCTGAAATATATTTCTAGGTTAGGCTGCCAACCATATGACCTTCTGTAACGTGTGACCTCCCATCTTTCAACAGAAGCCATCACATATCCAAGATCAAAACAGCTTTGAGTGAAACCAGATTCCTATATTAGTTATAACCACAATAGGTCTGCCCTATCAACTATTCAAAAAATACTTCACGGTTCACCTTGTTGTTCACGTTCAATACCAATTCCTCTGATAGCTAGTACATATTCCCCATTCCTGTGGTAATGAAATCAATATTGTTAAACCTAAATTAAGCACTAGAGAATTTCCTTCCAGCATAGATTGGATCCAGACTTAGTATGCTTAGAGTAGACGTGATCTGAGGGACTAGTTGGTATTGACTAACTTAAATCCCATTGGTTTCACAGAACCTAAACAGGAGTACAGTAAGAATGGATCCAGCCCTATGCCACACACACCCCACTTCGTGGTCTCATCACTATTTTAGAGAGAATACACCAGTGCATTGCTGAATCTCCCTTTAAAATTTTAAGCAGAAAACGTTGCCACTCACAGCTTCATCAAAGCCCAGGTAAAGGAACTGTTGATACCATTGCTGTACATCTGGTTGACTCCGATCCCAAAGTTGGCGTTTCTGGCGCTTCAGAGTATTTAAAAATTGCTTGGCCCGCTCTTCTTTGACAGACACCTCTGGTTTAGCTGGAACAGGGGCTGAAAGGAGAGGAAAGGAAACAAGATCTGTGAACGCCAGACGCTCACTCTGGATCAAGCATGGGCATATGTGGCTCTCCAGATGTTGCTCAACTGCACCTTCCATCATCTGTTACTATTTACAAGGCTGGCCAGGGCTGATGAGAGTTACAGTCCAACAACATCCGGAGGGCCTCATTTTACAAGTTCACAGTGATGCATTTTAAGGTGGGAAATCTTAAATGAACAATTTTTGACGTTCCTTATCTACAGTATAGAGTCAATGTTAGATGTGAACAAAGTACTGCAATTAAAAGGTAATACTGTTACTACCAGCTTGGCATGGTCCCTAATTATAATGCACATTCTGTACATAAATCACACCTTATTTCATGCTTGATTACTACTCCACTTCCAGATTTTGTGAAAGAAAAAGCAACAAGTTTACTCATTATATAGAGGGACTAGTTTCCTAGCACATTCTTTGTAGAGTCTGCACAGATACGGAAAGAGTATGCTACTTCTTACGTGCTGTTGAGCTTCCCCCTTAAGAAAATGTATTTTGAGAGTGGACATATTAATGCCACTTCTAAGTCTCAAAGTAACTTTACCTAATATATTTAGTCTGCATTAACTAGTTTGTGCAAATATAAAAGATGAGGTGATATTCCCAGAGCTCAGAGAATATGGGAAAGGATCCCAGTCGATCATGCAACTGTAAGCAACCTCATAGAAGAATCTGCATTAATACAATAGATTAAATCGGAGCACTAGATAGAGTGCATGGTGGTAATTGCTTTAATGAGTACATATTGACTCTATTCAGACTGTATTCAGCCATAGTTCTGTTTAATGCGATTATTTTTGGACTTGCTTGCCCAAGAGTTGCCCCTACTCTGGAAAAGCCACAAGGTGGCAAAAGAAATAATTGCTTCTCTTTTCAACCATCCACACTTGATTGCTATTTCTGAACTGGGGAAAACTGGTTAGTTTTCAATATGGTGTCCAAATAAGCAGAATTCCAATCCTGGATTATGATCCTGGTTTATTTGGATAAATCATAGTTTAAATCAAGCTCAGTTTCCAGTTGAGCATAATGACAAACTGTGGTTAGTTCAAAAGAGAAGCCACTGTTTCCAGTCTTAGCACAACCATGCTGGGGGAGAGACTTGTGTATATAATGGTTAACTATGGTTTAATATTATGTTTTAACTAGGCCATTGATTTATCCCAAGTTCGTTGTAGGACTATGTGCTCCCTACCAACACCTTATTAGAAGTGAAAGGGAAAATTGACTATCCTATTATGGGGTTAAAGTCAGTTTAGATGTGTGCATTTGGGCTGATGAAAGAGCACTTTCTCACCAGCTACTCTCCAGGATATGTCATCTCCCCCTCCCCCCCCAAAAAAAATAGCTGCACAACAGACTTTGCTGAATAGATTGAGCTGTGATGCAGAATGCTCTCCAGAAATCAGGCAGAAGCACCTTTTGTGCAACCATTCTGACAACAGAAAGCAGTTCCTGGACCTAATTCTGGCAATTTCCCATCTTTTCTTATTTCGTGTGTTTCTCACATGCAAGATTGCATAAAGGAATTTACGTAACAGTAATTGCCCTGTTAAGGTGCTTGTGCAGGGAGGTGCTCTGGTTTACTGAATAACACAGCAGGTGCCAATCTTTTCTGCAAAGCAATCTATAGTACGCTTTTGTTGAATAATAATATTGACCGGTCTTGATAGGAATGATGTAAAAAGCACTTTGAACACTCTAGAGTATTTTGCAATGGTAAATATCAATAATAACAATAGTACTGACAAAAATAACACATGTGGAAGTCAAAAGGTAACACCAGTGGCTATTACCCAGTGCCCTCACAATGCTAGGAAAGAGAAAAACGCAATGGTTTGCCACCAAAATTGTGGACTTTTCCCTTTATCTAGCAGATGCAAATGACAGAGTACCAACCCTGGTTTATACTAGTACTATGACAGCACTGAACATGGCTCCTTGTATGTTGATCTTTTATGTAATTTGACACCATGAGACTGTATGGCAGCTTGGAAAATTCTCATCCTTTTTTCTGCCTAAACGTGATTAGGATCCCACCATGAATTAGTGGAAAGTGTCCATGAGTGCACATAGGTGTATGCAAATGTAGTTCTTAACTCCCCCTTTTGTGTCAAAAAGAGGTAAGAAATATATGTGACAACTGAATATAGCAGGCCATTCCTCCTCTTGCACCATCACTACAAATTATCCTTGAATATTGTGGCGGCATAAGAGATTCCAGTTAGGAATTCTGGGAGATTTTGTTTGGTCTACATTTTGAACAATGTAACCCTTCTGTATTTCTTGGCCTGCTTTACAGATCAGAGCACGGATGCCTTTGGAGTTTGGATTCCTCCAAATTGTCAGGTGTAGTTATCAGTTCACAAAGATACGAAAAGGTGCAAAGAAATGTACATGTTAAAATAAAATTAGTTTAGAAATGTGTGGTTTGTGAGAAAATACATTCAAGAATGCATATTAAAACAATTGAGGAGTTCTTAAAATTGCAGATTATTACAAAACAGAGACAGAACCGATCTATGAATAAACACATACAAGGTGAAACACACAAGAAATAGATAAAGGTAAAGGTTTCCCCTTGACATTAAGTCCAGTCATGCCTGACTCTAGGGGGCGGTGCTCATCTCCATTTCCTAACCGAGGGAGCCAGCGTTTGTCCGCAGACAGTCTCCGTGGTCATGTGGCCGGCATGACTAAACACCAAAGTGCACGGAACGCTGTTACCTGCCCACCGAAGGGGTACCTTTTTATCTACTTGCATTTGCGTGCTTTCGAACTGCAAGGTTGGCAGGAGCTGGGACGGAGCAACAGGAACTCACCCCGTTGTGCAGATTCGAACCAGCGACCTTTCGATCAACCAGCCCAGCAGCACAGCAGTTTAAACCACTGCGCCACCTGCATTCCTAAGAAATAGATACCTTCATCCTAATTCCAGGTTCCTGGTGGTCACAGCTACTTCTGTCAAAAGTTGAAGAGCAGGATTTGCAAGACAGAAGCAATGATTTGTGTGTGTGAGAGAGAGAGACAGAATGCGGTGCATGCTTAGCCCTTCTCTGACAGGAAGGCTTCACTGACACCCTTTACATTCCTCTTCCCCTACAATTCCAGTTTCACTCCCTGACTGGAGTACAGCAGTTGCTTATGCTTCAAATGTGTATCTGGACCTCTAACACAAGGAGCTGTGGAGGCGGAAGAAAGATTAACTGCCCCCATCTTTCACAAGACACTTACTTTCTTGAATATAATTTGTCCTTGACATCCTTTTGCAGAGGAGAAGCAGCAGATGATGTAACAGGACACGAGAGATTCACAGAATATGAGTTCTGAACTTTCTCACCTGTTTTATTTTGTGCCAAGGGATGGCTACAAGGAAACATAGCACCTGAGGCAGGGCAGACTCACCTTCTCTTTGTTGAAGCATCAGCTTAAGCTTATTTCCCCTTGAGACACCTAGATGAATCCAAAATCAAATGACACAAGTCAATATGTGTGTGCTGAATTTAAAGTGTTGCCTACAAATGCTATTAATAGGAAATATGCCTATATCCATTTGAAGAAATGGATCTGCAGTGGAAGCAGAGGGGTCCTTTTTCTTGTGCTTAGCTCAGTAAAGGGTGCCACTCTTTCCCTGGTGCTCTGTGAAACAATGGCAACCTCTGGACATTTCCACATGTCAATGTATCTGTGAATACACTCAGAATTAAAGGTGCCATTCTAAATAAGCATATCTTTAAAGCTCGGTATTTCCGATTTTCCAAGCTCTGCTGTATGTCAACATGGAGATTATGCCTATGTTTTTAAAACAGAAGTGGCAAACCAAACCTAAGTTCCTTAATTAGGAGGGGAAGGATCGCCAAGACTTTCCTATACAACATATCTCAGACAAAGAAAAGAAAAAAAGCTATCACCATGGCTAAGAGGCTGGTGCCTTCCCGAGGACAGAGAGACTCGCTCCGGGGTGGGGCAGGGTGGGAAAGCAACCACATCATTGTTTCTACAGCTGGCGTTCTGGCACAAGCACACTTGTGGCTGGAGTTCCCATATGACACGGCACACGTGCAGAATGTCTGTTCATGCTGCAAGTTTTTTGTTTTAAGGACATACGTTTCCAGAGTTTATTTGAGTGAATTAATGCCAAACTTTTGTCATTTGAAAAAGTTATTAACAGAAATGGAATTGGCTTTGGCTTTGGGGGTGGTTACCTCCACCAGCCCCTTAGCTGGCTCTCTTCACGAACACATGGCGGGGGGGGGCGCAAAGGTAAAGGTCCACTTGTTACAAGCTAAAATATGGCAAGCAAAGGGACAGGCAGCGCTTGGGGGCTGGAGGCATAAGGGCTGCGTATTCCTTTGCTACCTCGAGAGCTTTTAAAAGCTGACTCTTAGTCAGCATGTGGCCACCTTAAGAAGTGTGGCTATGTACTAATCAGGACACTAGAAACTGCCAGGATCTCAAAATTAATAAATACACATCTTACCTTTTGATCTCTGCAGTATTAATCAACTAAGCACTATTTGTAGCAGATTCTACGCTATCAGCTCTCCGCACTGTTGAAAATGGACATACTTTACAATTGGCAAGGGATGGTTTGCTTTGATTTGCCTTGGTTGCAGACAGCGTTCCTAAGTCTTGCACAGCTGCCTAAGGATCACAAGCACAACTTGCAACAGGTTAAGCCAGGCTTGTCCAACATGGTTTGGATGACAACTCCCATCAGTCCCAGCAAGCATGGCTAACGACCAGGAAAGATGGCAGTTTCAGCCTAGGAAAGTTAGGGGGCACCTAAATTGCCAAGGATGTGTTAAGCTTTTCTTAACTGTTCGTTTTTGTGCAGGAAAAATGTTGAGCTGGAGAATTTCTGCATTTCTTCATTCTTGAACTGCCCTTAGTGAGGGATGGGGAGGGCAGCACTCCAACATAGAAAGGTATTGGCTTCTTCCCACTCACTTCTAAAGCGGGGATGGCTAACCTGCTGCCCTTTCAGAGTTTTGGCCTACAAGTCACTCCTTAGCCCTGATCCAGCTGAGCCAATAATGAGAGATGATGAAAGATGCAAGCAAAAATGTATGGAGGGCCACATGTTGACCACCCTTGCTTGGAAGCTATAGTACACATATATACATCTCATATAGATTCGCACCATGGGATGCTTGGTGCTGCAGACCACTGTGTCCAAAAATGGCTAGACAACTTTTAAAAAGCAGAAAGCTAGCAGTACTCAAGGAGCAAAAACCAGCAAGGTTCAGTTGGCCAGATACGGAATAAATGCAGCATTCTTTGTCACAGCATCTGTGCCTAGTCAAAACCCATTTTGTTATTTATTTTTAGTTATTAATTGTATTTATAACTCAGCTATTTTCCTGCAAGGAACGAAGCCATTGTGCTCCTCTGCATTTTGCCCTTGCACAGCAACCCTATAAAATCAGGCTAGACTGAGCCTCAGTGACCTGCTCGGTTACCCAGCGAGCAACCTGGCCCAGTGAGGACCGGATCTTGGATCTCCCAAGTCCCAGTCTAAGGACGACACCACTCTGGCTCCCTTTTGTGCTTGTGCTTGAGACAGACCAAGGAAAACCAACAAGCATCACCAACTGATAGTGGCACTGATAGGAGAAAGTAGAGATGGACTTTAAAATTTCATTCACTTCAGCTTTTCCTTCTTCCATTGAAACCTTAAAGGCCAAAATACAATCTAAAACCTAAGATATTTGAGGATTTTAGTATTTCTACTTAGGTTCTATCCTTGCAAACCATTGTTCAAAAGGCAGTATTTGAATAAGAGATCTTCGAAGTCTGGGTGATCGAATTGGTCCTCTGTAGCACGTGCCTATAACTTTTGAAGGCTTTGGGAAGGGAAGGAAATTCAACAGGAGAAACTTTCCCATCACTGCACTTCCCCTCTTAGAGCAGATGCTGTTCCCAGCATTTCTGCTTCTTGTGCAGCTGTTAAAGACCTTGCAGAGGAGGAGCGGGGTGGAAGAAATTGGCATCCCTCCTGGAAACAGGCAGACCTCCACGCAAATTTTCTTTCGAGCAAGAGGGGTGTGCGTGCAGCTACAGAGCCCTCCCCACTCTGAGAAAGCTGGCTGGACGCGGCGGAGTTTCGGCGGGAGAAAGCTGGCGCTGCCTGTCCCGGGCTTCCAAGCTGCCAAGGCAAACGCCTGGTGCACCCGCGCCAATTCTGGCGACCCTGCCCGGCACAGGCGCGGCACCCCCAGGCCGGGCCCTGCTCGCGCGCTCTCCCTTCATGCAAGGCCAAGCGAATCACTCACCGGGACCCAGGCACACGAGCACGAGCAGCGCCAGCGCGGCCACGGAGAGCGCGCTGCGGCCGGCGCCCGCGGAGAGCGACGGCATCGCGGCGGAAACCGGGGGCAGCCTTTCCAGCGAGGCGACTGGCGCGCTGCTTCCTTCGCCCGCTCGAGCAGGAAGGCGGGAGGCGCCTGCAAGGGAAGGCGAGAGAGGGAAGGAGGGCGGCGCCGGGCGGGGAAGCGGGCGCCGCACGGCGAGCCCGCGGCCGAGGCGAGGCGGCTGCCCGGGGGTGCCACGGCCGGCTGCCCCGCGAGGCTGTTCCGCCAGGAGGAGGGCGAAGGCGCCGGCCTGCCTGCGGGAGGAGAGGCGATGGCTAGGAAAGAGAAGCGGTGCCAAGACAGCGCTGCATAACCCGCACTCGGGAGCTGCCTGTGGGTTCAGTGTGGCTGAGGGTGCGCTGTTGTTGAACCGTGGGTTACTGTGTTGTCCGACCCCAGCTGAGATAACCAGTCGTGGAGAACAACCCGCAGCGCACAGCTCAGTAACAAACCATGGGTTCTCAGCAGCAGCCGCAGCAGCATCTTCTTCTTTGCAGTCAAAAACCCACAGCTTCTTAGTGCATCTGGGTTCAGACAACATCATAACCCACAGTTCAACAACAACAATCCACAGTTCAGCAATCCATACTGAGCCCTTGAATGTGAGTTATCGATTGTTTTATCACAATCCAGTCATTTTGTTACTTTATCGTCCAACCTAATTCACTCCAAATGTCTTGGACTGACATAGGCGTTGTTGCATGCCGGGGTTCTTCTTTCATGCGTTCAAAAGCCACCGACCTTTTCCCTTGCAAAGCATCCTTTATGCACCAAAAAGCACTAAACACCCAAAATGAATCTCTAAGCAGGCACAGAGCAATCTGTTGACTCCAATCTAGTAATCACCTCCAGGAACTCTCCTTATGAGCATGTCTGGACCCCACCCTTTGGGAGGGGCTTCTGAAAGTGAGCACACTTCCTCTCCATGCACCAAGCTTCTAATTGTGCTACCCTCCGATGTTGGCAACACATCATGACCTCGAGAAGCTCTTCTGCTCCAAGTCCCCTCCTGTCAGCTGTACATCTGGGTTATTTTCTACCTGCCTCCTGGCCTAGAGATAAGTGCCTCTGCTTTTCCCATCTCATTGTCTTGGTTTGGCCCGGCTTCCCCCACTTCTGCTTTACATTCTAATTCTGATCCTTCTGCAGCCCAGCCAACGGTCCTTGAGAACGAGCATCCACAGCAGCCATCTGTCTCACTTCCAACAGGCAGTGGCCATGCTGTCTGCAGATGATGGGAGGTGTAGTCTGACACAGCTGCAAGGCACCAGGGAGTTTACACTTTTCATTCCCCAGCTTCTCCCTGCCCCTGCCCCCGCCACAGTCATGTATATCTTGCTTAGTGTTGCTCACCTTAGACTAAGAAGCACCAAAATGTTGAGCAGGTGTGCTTAGCTACTACAGGCCTGCAGTGGGGTTGCAATAGTTATTTTGCGTCCTGTTTGGTGGCTTTTGTGTGTTTGCAGATAGTGGTGCTACCAGTCAAAATGCTTTGTGGAGCTCTTTCGCATTATCCTGCTTAACTGGTGTGTGTGTGTGTGTAAAGAAAAGTGATGGAAAAAGCATATAACAAACGGGAAATGTGAGAGTTACAAACTGAAGGCAGTAACATCATCTGGACCACCAGTAAAAATCTGTCCATGATAAAACATTGGCTGCTTCACCCAATGTGCATTGTTCTGATCACATTCAGTTGTGGGCTCACTCAATGCCAAGCTGCTACCCCAAAGCCACATGTCTGCATCTGGATTCTTAACAAGCCCTTTCCGTAGCCACATTCAACTTAAGAGGATTTAGGTTACACAGGTCTGGTGCTGGGGTACACTATATTTACCAACAACTTTGCATAATTGGAAATCCCTGTTAATTAATTCATCAAGGTTTATAATTTTAAACCTCAGATTCATTAATACTTGGTTAGATAATTTACACATCCTCTTAAAACTCTGACCTAAACACATCTTTGCCAGAACATATACTAATCTAACCTAACACCGTAGACTTTGACATCAAGATGACAAATGCTTAATCCACGCAGCAAAATAGATGTAGGCTTTTGTGGCTAGAAAGTTAACATGGGTCATTTATACAACACCTCATGCAAGTTGAAGGTGTATAAAAAAGTACTGTTGTTGCTGTTAGTCGCGAAGTCGTGTCCGACCCATCGCGACCCCATGGACAACCTTCCTCCAGGCCTTCCTGTTCTCCACCATTCTCCAGAGTCCACTTAAGCTCACACCAACTGCTTCAGTGACTCCATCCAGCCACCTCATTCTCTGCCGTCCCCTTCTTCTTTTGCCATCTATTGTTCCCAGCATTAGGCTCTTCTCTAGGGAGTCCTTCCTTCTCATTAGGTGGCCAATGTATTTGAGTTTCATCTTCAGTATCTGGCCTTCTAAAGAGCAGTCAGGGTTGATCTCCTCTAGGACTGACTGGTTTGATCAGTCCAAGGAACTCGCAGGAGTCTCCTCCAGCACCACAATTCAAAGGCCTCAATCCTTTTGCGCTCAGTCTTCCTCATGGTCCAACTTTCACAGCCATACATTGCAACTGGGAAAACCATAGCCTTGACTATACGCACTTTTGTTGGCAGGGTGATGTCTCTGCTTTTTACTATGCTGTCTAGATTTGCCATAGCTTTCTTCCCCAGGAACAAGCGTCTTTTAATTTCTTGGCTGCACTCCCCGTCTGCAGTGATCTTGGAGCCCAGGAAAATAAAATCTGTCACTACTGCCATTTCTTCCCCATCTATTTGCCAGGAAGTGAGAGGACCGGATGCCATGATCTTAGTTTTCTTAATGTTGAGTTTCAAGCCAACTTTTGCACTCTCCTCCTTCACCCGCATCAAGAGGCTCTTTAATTCCTCTTCACTTTCTGCCATTAGAGTGGTATCATCTGCATATCTGAGGTTGTTGATATTTCTCCCAGCAATCTTAATTCCAGCTGGTGATTCATCTAGCACTGCCTTTCTCATGACGTGCTCTGCATACAAGTTAAATAGGCAGGGACACAGTATACAGCCTTGCCGAACTCCTTTCTCAATGTTGAACCAATCAGTGGTTCCGTGTCCAGTTCTCACTGTTGCTTCTTGACCCGCATATAGTTTTCTCAAGAGACAAATAAGATGGTCAGGTACTCCCATCTCTTTAAGAACTTGCCACAATTTGCTGTGATCCACACAATCAAAGGCTTTGGCATAGTCAATGAAGCAGAAGTAGATGTTTTTCTGGAACTCCCTAGCTTTCTCCATGATCCAGCGTATGTTGGCAATTTGATCTCTAGTTCCTCTCCCTCTTTGAAATCCTGCCTGTACTTCTGGTAGTTCTCGGTCCACATACTGCTGGAGCCTAGCTTGAGCATAACTTTGCTAGCATGTGAAATGAGTGCAATGGTGCGCTAGTCTGAACATTCTTTGGCATTGCCCTTCTTTGGGATGGGAATGTAAACTGACCTTTTCCAATCCTGTGGCCACTGCTGAGTCTTCCAAATTTGCTGGCATATTGAGTGTAGCACTTTTACTGCATCATCTTTTAAAATTTTGAATAGCTCAGCTGGAATACTGTCACCTCCACTAGCTTTGTTGTTGCTCAGACTTCCTAATGCCCATTTGACTTCACATTCCAGGATGTCTGGCTCAAGGTCAGTGACCACCCCATCATGGTGATCAGGGACATCAAGGTCTTTCTTGTATAGTTCCTCTGTGCAATCTTGCCACCTCTTCTTAATCTCTTCTGCCTCTGTTAGGTCCCTACCATTTTGGTCCTTTATGATGCCCATCTTTGCATGAAACATTCCCTTTATATCTCCAATTTTCTTGAAGAGATCTCTGGTGCTCCCTATTCTATTGTTTTCTTCTATTTCTTTGCATTGTTCATTGAAGAAGGCATTCTTATCTCTTCCAGCTATTCTCTGGAATTCTGCATTCAACTGGGTGTATCTTTCTCTTTGTCCCTTGCCTTTCGCTTCCCTTCTCTCCTCAGCTATTTGTAAAGCTTCCTCAGACAACCATTTTGCTTTCTTGCATTTCTTTTGCTTTGGGATGGTTTTAGTTGCTACCTCTTGTACAATGTTGCGAACCACCATCCATAGTTCTTCAGGCACTCTGTCCATCTGATCTAATTCCTTAAATCTATTGTCACCTCTACTGTATATTCATCAGGGATATGATTTAGGTCATACCTGAGTGGCCTAGTGCTTTTCCCTATTTTCTTCATTTTAAGCCTAAATTTTGCAGCAAGAAGCTCATGACCTGAGCCACAGTCAGCTCCTGCTCTAGTTTTTACTGACTGTATAGAGCTTCTCCATCTTTGGCTGCAGAGCACATAGTCAATCTGATTTCTGTGTTGACTGTCTGGTGATGTCCATGTGTAGAGTTGTCTCTTGGGTTGTTGGAAAAGAGTGTTTGCTATGACCACTGTATTCTCTTGACAAAATTCTTCCAGCCTGTGCTTTGCTTCATTTTGTACTCCAAGGCCAAACTTGCCTGTTATTCCGGTTATCTTTTGACTTCCAACTTTAGCATTCCAATCCTCCATGATGATAAGGATATCATTTTTGATGTTAATTCTAGAAGGTGTTGTAGGCCTTCATAGAACCGGTCAACTTCAGCCTTTTCAGCACCAGTGGCTGGGGCATAGACTTGGACTATTGTGATATTGAATGGTTTGCCCTGGATTCAAACTGAGATCATTCTGTCATTTTGGAGATTGTATCCCAGTACTGCTTTTTCTACTCTTTTGTTGACTATGAAGGCTACTCCATTTCTTCTGAGGGATTTTCGCCCGCAGTAGAAAACCTGATGGTCATCTGAATTAAATTCACCCTTTTCTGTCCATTTTAGTTCACTGATTCCTAAGATGTTGATGTTCAGTCTTGTCATCTCTTGTTTGACCACATCCAGCTTGCCTTGATTCATGGATCTTACATTCCAGGTTCCTATGGAGTATAGATCTTTGCAGCATCGGACTCTCCTTTCACCACCAGATACATCTGCAACTGAGTGTCCTTCGGCTTTGACGCAGTCGCTTCATTCTTTCTGGCGCTACTAGTAC